GAAAAATAGTCCCCTCTCTCCAGGCCTGAGGAGTTGTGGAGCAGAGGAGGGCGTGATCCCAAACCATGGGCCTTGACCCACGGTGGGAGCCAGGCTCGGTTACGCTTCCCAGCCCGTCAGACCCCAGTTTGGTGTGCTTGAGGCAAGCCAGCAAGACAACTGCTTTAATTTTCAGGTGTCTTTCAGGCCCACCGTGTTTATGGTTACAATTAAGTGTATTCAGACCAGTACATCTGCTCTCTTTCAAACAGGCAGCACTTTATCGGTTGCAATTTGCTCCCCCAAATGCCTCGAAACAGCTGTTCCCAGTAGCTAAACACACTGAAATCATCCCCGTGGGCTTCCTTGCATGTTCCTCCCACAAAATAATCTCATATCTAGGCTAAAAGGAGGCACGTCGCTTTTGCATGTTGCCACAAGAATAATGTAGAAATGTTTTTCTACCGTCACAGAATGCGGTATGTGCTAGCATGGGTGAAATTACCTATTTTCCTCCAACCTTTCTGGAAAATAGGATTGTTCTGATGAAACGTAACTCAAAAGTTCAGCCTAAAGCAGAGCATTAGGTCACTCACACGCACAAAATCTCTACCGGTTAAAATCCGACACATCTCTAACCCTGTGGAAACTGGAAAGCTTTTGGCAACTTTAGGCAGTGCCTGTAGAAGAGAGTGGTAATGCTGAAAATGCAATTTAAAAAAACTAACTCGTTGCATTATTTTTTTTTCAGTTTATACCAATGCCTGTGCTTTATGGCGTCTTTCTCTACATGGGCGTGTCGTCGCTCAGAGGAATTCAGGTACGGACTTTCGATAACCCCAGGCAATGCTGCAGGTGTGGGGAGGAGCGGCTGGGAGCTGCCTGGCGGAAAAAGACCTGGGGGTGCTGGTTGACAGCCGGATGAACGTGAGCCAGCAGGGTGCCCGGGTGGCCAAGAGGGCCAGTGGCATCCTGGCTTGTATCAGGACCAGTGTGGCCAGCAGGACCAGGGCAGGGATCGTCCCCCTGTGCTGGGCACTGGCGAGGCCGCCCCTCGAATCCCGCGCTCGGCGCTTGGCCCCCGGCTACAAGAACGAAACGGAGGGGCTGGGGAGGTG